CGTAGAATGATGTATTTCAAGCACAGAAAGAAGATATCTGACAACCTAGATTACAGTTTCCAGCAAAGCTGTCCTGCAGAACTGAGGAAAAATAAAAACTTTCCATAATAAACAAAACTAAAGGAATTCATAACCACTGAGCCAGCACTGCAGAAAATACTTCAACGAATCCTACTCAGAGAAAAGGAAAAGAACCAGGAAAATAAGGGAAAAATAAATCTCACTGATAAGTCAACGAGCAAATGAGAATTAGGAAAGAACCAAACATTAAAAAACAACAGGGATTCCTGCATACCTTTCAGTAATAGCTCTGAATGTTAATGGTCCAATTATCTAATCAAAGAATGGAAAACAGATGTTCTAAGCAACTGGAACAAAAAGCAAGCAGAAGTAAGCATACTCATATCTGACAAAGCATACTTCACACCAGAATTAGAAGAGATAAAGGAAGTCACTTCACATTGTTAAAGGGAAAAAAATCCATCAAGAAGATATAACAATTGTAAATACATGTAAATACATGTAAATACACCTAAAAAACTAGCTAGCATTTGTTGCCCTTAATGCAGAGAAACTAAAGCAGATACCTTAAAGCAACTGAGGCCAATAGGAAAAGGGGACCAGGAACTAGAGAAAAGGTTAGATCAAAAAGAATTAACCTAGAAGGTAACACCCACGCACAGGAAATCAATGTGAGTCAATGCCCTATATAGCTATCCTTATCTCAACCAGCAAAACCCCTTGTTCCTTCCTATTATTGCTTATACTCTCTCTACAACAAAATTAGACATAAGGGCAAAATAGTTTCTGCTGGGTATTGAGGGGGGGAGCAGGAGGGGGTGGAGTGGGTGGTAAGGGAGGGGGTGGGGGCAGGGGGGAGAAATGAACCAAGCCTTGTATGCACATATGAATAATAAAAGAAAAATGAAAAAAAAAAAAAAGAAGATATAACAATTGTAAATACATGCACTGTATGTCAGCACACCCAATTTCATAAAACAAGTACTTTACTAGACAAAAAAGCACAGATAAACCCTAATGCAATTTATAATGTGTGACTTTAATAACCTACTCTCACAAATTGATAGGTCTTCCAGACAAAAAATTCAACAAAGAAACTTCAGAATTAAATGGCACTATAGATCAATGGACTTAACAGACCTTTCAACATATTTTACTCAGTAACTTGAAAGTACACATTCTTCTCAGCAGCCATGGAACTTTCTCTAAAGTATAGCATTTTATAACATTTTATAACATAAAGTAAGTCTTAACAAATGTAAGAAAATAGAAATAATCTCCCATTTTTATTAGACCAAAATGGAATAAAACTAGAAATAAATAGCAAAGGAAAACACCGAAAATATTCAAATACATGGAAACTGAACAATACACTGCTGAATGATCAGTGGGTCATCAAAGAAACAATGGGGAAAGTCAAAAACTTCCTAGAATCAAATGAAAATGAAAACATAACTTACCAGGACCTGAGGGGCACAGCAAAGGCAAGTTTATAGATATGAGCACATTAAAAAAAGTCAGAGAGATAAATAAATGACCTAATGATGTACCTCAAGCTCTTAGAAAAACCAGGACAAGTCAAACCCCAAATTAGTATGTGTAAAGAAATCACAAAAGCCGGATGCTAGTGGCTCACACCTGTAATCCTAGCTACTTGGAAGGCTGAGATCAGGAGGTCACAGTTCAAAGCCACCCCAGGCAAATAGTTTGCAAGACCCCCATCTCCAAAATAACCAGAACAAAATGAACTGAAGGTGTGGTTCAAGTGGTAGAGCACCTGCTTTACAAGCACACGCAATACCTTGAGTTCAAACCCAGTCCAAGGAAGGAAGGAAGGAAACATAGAAAGATAGATCAGGGCAGAAATTAATAAAGTAGAGAGTAAAAACTACAAAGAATCATTGAACCAAAAAGTTGGATTTTTTTAACAGGTAAACAAGATTGACAAACACTTAACCAAACTAACTAAAAGAAAGAGGGAGAATACCCAAATTAATAAAATTAGAGATGAAAAAGAGAATGAAATCAAAAGATCATTAGGAAATATTTCAAAAACATATACCAATAAACTGGAAAATCTAAAAAAAAAAGTGGAAATATTCTAGACACATATGATCTACCTAAATTGAACCAAGAGAATATCAACCACTTTAAACAGAGCTATACAGATCTATAGTAAGCGGTGAGTTTGAAGCAACAATAAAAAGTCTTCCAATAAAGAAGAGCTCAGGTCTGGATGGATTCACTGCTGAATTCTACTGAACTTTTAAGGAAGAGTTAACACCAGTGTTACTCAAACTGTTCCTTAAATAAAAAAAGGAAGGAATGCTACCAAATTCATTCTATGAAGTCGGTATTCTTCTGATACCCAAAGTGGATAAGAAAACAACAAAAAAAAGAAAATTATACACCAATTTCCTTGATGAACATGGATGCAAAGATTCTCAGTAAAATGTTTGCAAATTGAATTTAACAACACATTAAAAAGATCACATACCATGATCTGTTAAGTGAAGTAAGCCAGGTTCAGAAAGACAAAGGCTGCATGTTTTCTCTCATATGTGGAAGACAGATTCAAAAGATAAACATATACACAAAACCAAATATGATCATATACTCATCTACATGTAGAATGTGTTTGTAAGAGTGGAACCACACTATGGGACTTGGGGGAAGGAGGGAAAGGAAAAGAGAATGACAGAGTGTCAGCAATATTGAAATACATAACATCTGAGCAGGCAGAGGATATAACGATCCATAATGAAATATGGATCCATAATGAATAATGGGGAGTAGGAGGGAGGGAGTAAGGGAGAGTAATGGAAGGGGTTGAACCGACCAAAGTAAAGTGAACTGATCATATCAGGGATACATCGAGAAACCCCTTTGAACATTAGCTTAGGAATTAAGAAAAGGCAGTACTGTAGAATGGGGGGGCTGCGGGGGAGGGGATACTTTTCGGAGGGGAGAGGGTGAACAAAGGAGATTAAGGTGAGGGTACATGGTTGATGGACTTCATATACATATGGGAGCCTCTTGCAATTGCTTTAAGTGGGGTAAGAGGGGGCTGAGGGGGGATGGTGGGGGTAATTCAACTAATGTATAATGTAAGCCTATTTGGAATTGATACAATGAGTCCCCCCCTGTACAACAAATATATCCTAATAAAAATAAAGGGAAAAAAAGAAAAGGTGCTATGTGGGAAAATGAAGGGGACTTGCAAGGCTGAGGGAGACAAGAGTGGGTAACATGTGGTGATCATATGATCAAGGTACATGATATACATGTATAAAATATCATAATGAAACATTATTTTCTTCACTTCATATATGCTAATGAAAATTTTAATAGTTAAATAGTTCTGCTTAGTTTACTGACACTAAATCCTATTACATATAGATACAACGCCTTGCAACGTGCACAGTTTCCTTTTTATAGAATTATTCTACACAGTTGATGAATGTCCTGTATGCACATGGAACATGTTTAGTTATCCATAACTTAACAACTTTTTTTTATTAACTCAACCTTTCATTCCATAATTGAGCTTCTCTTCTTTCTTCACTTTTTTTTTTTTTTTTGGTGGGACTGGGGTTTGAACTCAGGGCTTCACACTTGCAAAGCAGGTGCTCTACCACTTGAGCCACACCTCCAGTCCATTTTACTCTGGTTATTTTGGAGATGGGGATCTCATGAACTATTTGCCCAGGCTGGCCTCGAGCCACAATCCTCCTGATCTCTGCTTTCCAAATGCCTAGGGTTACAGGTATGAGCCACCGGCACCCAGCTCCTTACTGGTGCTTTTAATACTCTTATTGCTTGCAGACTAAGGCATGATGGCATGATTGATGTTTTTTTAACACATCTTAAGACACCAGAGACCAATGAAAATGTGATATTCAGGACTAACTGATCCCACAGGGCTGCTTATTCCATCTATTGGTGTCAAGATGAGGCATATTTATGTCTTCACTTGATTATTTTGTTTTGTTCATAGAAGTATAGACTTCATAAGCTGACATTTCATATAAGGAATTGTTTTAGTTTTTCTTAAAAAAATGGAAGCAGTGCTTAAATAAAACAGATGGAGTTTTTGGAAAGATGCTTATTCTAGCTAGTAAAATCCTCAGCAGATTCAGATTGCAGGTAGAAAGACCCAAGAGTGCACTTGGAACTTGAAGAATTGATTATAGTCAGTGCTAATGCTCTTCATAACTGGAATTTCTTAGAAAAGGTTAAAAATTGACAGAGGTGAGCATCTGATTGGCAGGCTTGGTTCCATAGTTACCCCTGGATCCACCAACTATGTCCAAGGAATCAAAACAGCATATTATAAAATTACTGCTTCCATTGGATGTGGGAGTCATGTAAACTCAAAAGCGAAAGTGATGCCATGAGCTGCTTCCCACAAACAAATTCAATGAACATGCCAAGTTTGAACCTAGATCCAGTACCCATACTGGCCATTGGAGATATCAGAGCAAAAAAGACAGAGCCTCTAGCTTCATCTTGTCCTTCAGATTTTCATGTACTAAATGCCTAGGCCACAGTTGGGTTGACAAATGGTAGATCAAACATAGAACTTGCCCTGCTCCAACATTAAGAAGACAAAGTGTAGAATGGTGATGTAGTTCAGTGGTAGAGCACTTGCCTAGTATGTGCAAGGCCCTGGGTTCGATCCCCAGCACTGAGAAAGAGAAGAGAGGAAGAGGAGTAGGAGGAAGGGGAGGGGGAGTGGGGGTGCCAAAGATATATCTCAGATATCTTGTGTTTCCCCAGGATGAAGGGCAAGGGTGCCTACAGGTGCTCAGGAGAAACTTACCAAACAGAATCAGAGAAAACACAACTCCCCTGAGCAACACACCCCCCATCTCGGACTGCACTTCATTGCTTATGGCCTGAGGCCATGAAGAGGCCAATAAAGGCTGGAGCTCAAGAACACCAACCCAGATGCCAGGCTGCCTCTCTGGCACCCAGCCATGAAGCTCATCTTTCCTGTCTTTGCCAGCCTCGTGCTACAGTACCAGGTGAATTCAGGTAATGTGGACTTGTGGATTTAAGAGGGGTTGGTGTGAGGAAGCAGGGATCTGACTGCTCATGACTATAGGAACCCAAAGAGATTCTGAAAGATGAGCTGTCCAAAGAGATGGCTGAAGAACTGACCTATTGCCACAGGGGTGCACAATCCCTAATGCATCCACTTTGATCCCAGCCCCTAAACTTTGCTCAAGGAAGACAAGACACCCAGGGTGTTACAGGGGAAATAATGGATTTTTTGTGTATTAAGAAAATATCCAACCTATCATCCTGAAACTCAGTCCAGTCTCTCTCATTTCAGTTCTCTTGCTAATCTAGTTATCTGTCTCTTAAAACAAAGGTTCCAGTTTGTACCTTGGTGTGGGGAGGAGGAAGTCCTTACCTTTGTGCTCAAAAGAAAATCTCCTCTTAGGATTTAGTATTCAGAGACATATTCTCCATTTCAACTCTTTCAGATTTTGAGAGCCTTATCTTTTTTTCTCTGTCTTCCTGGAAATGAACACTACCACCCAACTACCATAAGGGCATTTGGGGACACAAAAGACTGAGCTAGAGGGTTGACAATTGTTTTTGGAGATTTGTCTTAGAATACAAGAATCAAGCTGGTGCTGATCTCTGGATCAGGAGGATCGAAGTTCAAAGCCAGCCCTGGCAAATAGTTCATGAGATCCTATCTCAAAAATACCCAACACAAAAAGGGCTGGTGGAGTGTCTTAAGCTGTAAGAGCACCTGCCGAGCAAGCATGAGGGCCTGAGTTCAAATTCCAGTGCCAGCCAAAAAAAAAAAGCACCTTTAAGGGACACAGTGTCCAGAGAGGCTGAAAGTGACAGAACACCATGCCCCAGGAACCACAGGTCTAGCAAATGTCAAGGATAAAGAGATGGGGGAGGGGGATAAAGGACAATGGTGGAGTGGGTTAAATTCAAGTTTGATATATTTGATATATTGTAAGAACTTTTGTAGATGCCACAATGTACCCTCACCCAGCACAACAATTATTATAAAAAAGCACGTAAAAGTCCTTTGTAAACAATAAAGCACTTTACAAAAAAAAAAAAAAGAAAGAAAAAGGATAGCAAGATCCAGGACCACTAGGTTTAGCAAGAAGGCAACACTTCTGAAAATTCTGATTCTCATTTAAAATTACTTCCATGGGTTATTTCACTTAATGTAATGCCCTCCAGTTCCACCCGTTTTGCTGCAAATAAAAAAGTTCATTTTTCATTACAACTACACAGAAAGACAAGTATTATGTATTCTTTTTACGTATGGAAGTTTAAAGATAACTGACGTGAATATAGAATAGTGATGACTAGAGGCTGAAATGGGAGGGAGGCTGGATGTGGTCGGTGTATACTACAAGTATGTATTGAAATAGCACACTTAATCCCATCAATATGTAATATTAGTACATGTTAATCAAAAAATATTATTTTTAAATTTGAAAGTTCTTTCTTCAATTAGTTTTATGACAGATGTCACTCTCATTGATATTTCCTGGGACCACAGGGATAGGACAAAGAAGCTCTGCAAGTGTCTAAAATGCTAGGTTGGGGTCAAAAATGCTGTCCTAACAGCAAGTAATTGTTTTGTTTTTGTTTGTTTTTTTAAAGTTACTCCAGGAAGGAAGACTAAACAAGAGCTGTATTTTGAATTCCAGAGGTTATAGAGACTCTCTTGCTTGGCCTGCCCGAGGGTGTCCACCAATATCCCAAAACACCACCCTTAAGGTTAACAAACTCCTTGGGCTGGTGGAGTGGCTCAAGCAGTAGAGCAACTGTCTAGCAAGCACGAGTTCCTGAGTTCAAACCCCAGTACTACAAAAAAAAAAGTTAAACTCTTTCTTATTTATCTCTACTTATTTGTCTCAATGGTTTTCTTTCTTATGCAGAATTTTTGGTCTTAAAAAGATGTTTAATGGGCTTTGGGAAATGCAAAGGCAGCTGCCGTGCGGATGAAAAAGAAATACAGATGTGCAAGAAGAAAAAATGTTGTGTTGGACCAAAAGTGACTCAGCTGATTAAAAGCTACCTACGACATGAACTGCCCCGTATACCTGATAGCGACTTAATAGAAATGCTTAAAAAAACCAAGAATTTTAGTATTTCAGTACAAAGAAAATATATGTTACCTGCTCTCCCCAAAATCGAAAGCACCAGCCCTTTTCTCAACACCAATTCTGTCATTACCCCAAATGGCTCCCCAGTGAAATCCAACACCAGCAGCACCAGGTTGCCAAGCCACATCACGCACACTGCTACTTTTATCAAGAGCAACACCAAACAAAGCAGAGATAGTTCCAGTGCCCCCTCACCACCACCATAGACTATCAACCACGAGCCCTGAGGAAGCAGATGAACACTGATGCGGGTTCCTCTCTACTTCTACGATCTATAAAATGAGACATGTAACTGTTTATTCTGTCATCAGTTATTCAATAAATACTGTCTAAGAACCGATAGTTTATGTAATATTATTCTCACAGCAGCCTCCTACAGCAGGCAGAACTAGAGAGAAATGGAATTTTAAGTTTAGATGTCCAAGAGAGAGCAAGTCCAGGAAAGGGGACTTAGCATTGAGTTTAGCCCATGGGTGGCCCAGATCAACAATGAGCATTTTGGCTCTCACAAATGATGTGCTCTTCCTTGGGCAGCAGGAAGTAAAGTATTAGAAGACATATTTTCTCTTTTGATTTTTGGAAAAAAGACCCATACACAAATAGAAAGTGAAGAAAACAGAAAGAGATGAAATTAATTTTAATAAGATTGTGTTTAATGTCATATTGAAAACTACCATATTAACAGGAAATCAAGATAAAAATTATTCATGTGATGCTTTACGTATTTTGGTACTACATCTTTGGAATATCATACATATTTAACACGGTCCATTCCAATTTGCATTAGCCACATTTCAAATGTATGATAGTCACACATGGCTAGAGGAAACCATATCGTATTGGACAGCACAAGGTTAGAGAGTTTTGAAGGCACTGTTAAGCCAAGGAGACAGTGCTGATGCACAGAAGATAGCCATATTTCTGAGGACTATGGTATCAAATTTGAGTGGAGAAATACAAGTCTGACACTGCTTGGCTACCATCTTGATCCTAATACTTTTTTAGCTGTATTGCCTCCAACAAATCATTTATCCATACGTAACCATCTATTTATTCCTTCATAAATAGAAATGCCAACATTATATTATATACCAGAATTCAGCAACCTTAGGTCATACTCCTTTCAATTGCCCAAATTACAATGGCATGGGCTCCTGTTCCAACTTTTTAAATGGTTTTATTGAGGTAAAATTGATATACAAAGAACTACACATTTCTAATGTTTGCAACCAGATAATTTTGGGCACTTACAAACAGCCATGATGCATACCATTACCACAATAAAGGTGACAGATGTGTCCACCACCGCCAGAAGTTGTATCCTTTTTGTTTGTGTTTTGGGGAAGAGGGAAGACAGGGGGCTGTTTGTGTGTTTGTTTTATGGGTGATCATTTAACATGAGTTCTACCTTTTAATCGACTTTGAAATGCATGATGCCATATTGCTACCACTAGCACTAATTGCTACAGAAGATCTCTAAACCTTCTTTGGGGGCATGGCTCAAGTGGTAGAGCACTAGTCTAACAAGTGTGAGACCCTGAGGTCAACACCCAGTACCACAAAAAGAAGGAAAAAAACCTTATTTGTTTAGCATAATTGAAACTTCATACCCATTGAATAACTCCTGCTCTGCATCACTTCCCAGCCTTGGTACCCACAATTGTACTACATGCTTTTTCTGAGCTTGATTATTACAAATGCCTGTGTAAGCAAAATCAAGCAGTGTTTGTCTTTCTGTGACTCACTTATGTCACTTAAGGTAATGACCTCCAATTTCATTTATGATTTCCCAAATGGCAAGATTTTCCTCTTTTTTAAGGCTGAACATAATTCTGTTGTATGTGCATACCACGTTTTCCTTTATTGAGGGAAGCAGAGGGCACTTTCAGCCAGGAGCTGCTGCCTGCTCTCTGTGAAGAAGAGCAATACTAGCAGTAGGTGACTATGTGGGGAAGAGGTATCAAGCCAGAGACTGGTGTGGCCAGGACATGCAGGATCACTCAGTGGCCCTTGCCTCACCCTAACTGCTTTGGTTTGACTGTTTCCTACACTCTCAGAGCCCCCAGATACACTAGGTAGACAAGTAGCACTGGCAGAGCACCTTAGTGCAAGGTGGCACCTAACAGGGTGATCTTTGGGTTCAGCTAGCAGGAGTAGCTTAAGGGTGACTCCAGCACTCCCCATATTGCTTGGGTCTGCATAAGAAGAACACTGGCAGAAATTCAGCCCAGAAATGGTCACAATTATACCTAGGGTCAGAAAAGGTGAGGCTGGATCTCAGCCTGCAAAGAGCCCTTTCTAGTCCAATGTTCAGACTAAACAGAGAAAATGACTCAATACCCCTTGGCCCCACCCACATTAAGTAAACTACAAAATGACAAAGAGGAAAGCATCTTCATCCCATATCTCCTCAGGAAGGAAGAAATAGTGATTGCTCTTTTTTTATTACTTTGTCTTGTTCTGTATCTAGTTCTTGCTTTTTTCTCATACTCTTATTTCTTATAACTTTTTCCATATAATTTTTTCTCTCTTTTGTATCTTGTTTCTTCCCTCTTTTTTCATGTGTACACTTCTTTTCATTTATTAATTATTAATATTTTTAACTTTACTAATTTTCATATTCCTAGGTTATCCTACAAATATCTTAGTTCCTTCCTTACTGGGATATGCTTGATGTTTCCAACTGGTTTTTTTTTTTTTACTACATTTAAATATCTGGTTTGTTTTTTGTAATTTGGAGGGGGTTGTTGTTGTTACATTGGGGTTTGAACTTAGGGCCTCACAACTTGAGCCAGGCACCCAGCTAATTGTTGTTGTTTTTACTGTGGTCTTTTTCTCTCCTCTGAATAATAGTAGGGATTCAGATCACAAGAAAAGGTTTTGCACTAAGAAGACCCCCCCATATAAAATTCAAAGAGGTATCCATCTCTACAAGATGTGCCAACTGCAACAAAGAAACACAATATGAAAAAGACAATTCAATTTCTTCAAAAGTTCATCACTGCTCAATAACTGAGTCCAAAAATATTGAAATTGTTGAAATGCCAGAAAAAGAATTCAAACCACTAATTTTTAAAATGATCAATGACCTCAAAGAGGATTCATATATACAGATGAATGAAGTTAGGAATTCAATACAATACTTAGACAAGAAACTCAGCAAAATGGATGAGAAATCCAGAAAAGATACAGAGATCCTGAAAAAAAAATGGAAATTTTGGAAATGAAAAGCTCAATAAATTAAATTTTTAAAAAATCAGTGTAAAGTATCACCTATAGACTAGATCAAGCAGAAAAGAGAACATAAGTGACTGAAGATGAGACTGCAAAATTATTACATTTAGACATCATCAATAAAGAAAAATAAGAGATCATGAACACAACTTCAAGAACTCTGGGACATGATCAAGAGACCAAAGCTGAGAATCCTTAGGGTACAAGAAGGAGCTAAGATATACACTAACACTTAGAAATCCTATTCAAAAAATCATAGCAGCAATTTTCCCAAGTCTAGGGAAAGAGACAGGCATCCACACCCCAAATAGAAATGACCAGCAAAGAACCTCTCCATATTACATTCTAGTTAAAAGAGCAAGAGTACAGAAAAAAGAAAGAATATTGAGAGCTGCAAGAAAGTATGCCAAATTACTTATTAAGGCAACTCATCAAAATTACATCAGGCCCCAAGCAGAAACCCCAGGAGGCAGGAAATCATGAAATGATATATCATAAACCCTGAGAGTAACTGCCAATCAAAATTACTATATCAGAAGTTAGCCTTTAAAATCAATAAACAGAGATCCAAGATGGTGACTATGGTATGGAAGCAGATAGCCTAAGCTCTGACTCCAAAACCTTGCTGAGATGCTGGAGCCACACTTGGCAGAAATAAAGCACCAACCAGAATCAAACCTTCAACACCCTGAAACCCTAACCCGTGGAAAGCTTCCCCACAACATGTTAAACTGAGAAAACTTAAGGGCTGCCATTGCCACCTCAGCTGCCGCCACTGGCTCCAAACTTGCCTGCAAGACATTCTACATACCAAACAGGTGAACACCACACATCACGCGGAATTCCCCCAGCCACCCGCAGGATAAACCAGCACAGCCCCTTGGCAGACTGGCCCCCTCAAAAAAAAACCTGAATAACAAACAGCTAACTGTAATCTAGCACAACAGCAGAGGGGGCGGGCATGCTGAAAGTGCACCAGAGAAAGGGGGAAGGGCAAGGAGCTAATTCAGCAAGAACTATCAGTAAACAAACACCAGAAAGGCAGGAAGGCTGAGAGTGGAGGAACAATAAGCCACTCCCCAAAGCAGGACAGGTAGTGGATCACAGAGATCATCTCCTGAGCCAGTGAGCAGCACCCAAAATCAAATTGCCCTGCAAAATTGAAAATAAATAGCAAACCACCATAACACACTGACAGCAGGGGAGGCTGATGGAACACTGACCCTGCCCCAGAGAAAGGGGTCAGGGCAAAGAAATAAGCCCCCAGCATGGAAATCCCAGAAAACAAGCACAGCAAAAACCACCTCCAAAGCAGGACAACTAGTGGACTACAGAGCTGATCTCCTGAACCTGAGGGAAGATTTCAAATTTAAACTGCCACACCTCACTGGGGGAAGAGATGACCAAGCAGCTGCACCTAAAAGGTAACACAGCAATCAGCTGGGGAAATCAATAGCTCTGACCACCCTTCATGAACTGGCAAAGCCACCTCACCTCACAATTTCAATTCAACTGGTAGACAGGAAAACAAAACACTACTTACAAGCCAATCACGTGGTGAGCAGAGCTTCTGCTTCTATGCCAATACCAGGACTGGATGCTGGAGAAGTAACTCCAGAACTTAAACTGAGATTGAAATTCTATTGTTCCTGAACCTGGTGGGGTTTTTTTTCTTGTTTTGTTTGTTTTTATTTGTTTGTTTGTTCACTTTTCCCATTGATTTCTTTGGGGTTTTGTTTGTTTGTTTTATTATTGTCAGTTTTCTATTTTTACTTTTACTCCTATTATCTTTTTTCTTTCTCTTTCTATACTATCAACTTCACCATCATCATCTTCTCATCCCTACTCTTATCCTCTTCACTCTCCCTCCTTCTCTTGTGCTAAAATCCATTGCTCCCATTCCCAACAACTCTTTCTGCCCCTTCTCACCCACTCTCTTCCCCCAGCCCTCACTTTCCCCTCCCATTCTCCC